CCCTCCTCCATCTCTCTCTTTAAGTATTATCGAGGAAACAGATACCTCTCACCGAGGGAGAAGGGCTAACACTTCTCACAGCCCAACCCCAGGAAGAAGATGGGTCCTTTGCTCTTATCTCAGCACTCCCCCGTTCAATTTGCCTGCAGGTGACACAGATCCATAGCAAGTGCTTCTGGCAGGGCATTGGGAATGCCAGCAGCTCCTGCACCTTTTCTCTGGGTGACTGTAGAATTTAACTTTTATGGCAGGAGCTACCTGACACCTGCTTCCTTAAAAAGCTTTTAAAAAGCTCTATGAAAGCCTGCCGGTGTGTGACACTGCTAGCAATGACCCTGCAGGTCCAACAGTTATCTGCAGGTTTGCAGAAGTCAAGGAGAGTTGGAGAAAGAGCCAAACTTTGCACTGGACTCTGCATACAGGACAAAGAAATCCCATGTGAGTAGGGAAATTTAACGAAACAGCCTGAATCAAAGAAGCTATTGGATTTGAGCGAGAATGAAACGGTTTAATGCACCGTATAATTTCTGATTACAAAAAATTGTCTCAAGGCCACTGATCTATGATGTTTATACAGATTAAGGCAGATTTTCACTCATCAGCTCATCTGAAAAAGGATTTTTGAGTTCAAACGTTAGGTTAGCAAATACTATAAAGTTAAGCAACCTTCCTCCAGCAGGTGCCTAAGGATTAGCAACTACCTAAAATTCAAAACTTGCCTTTATTTTTTCCTAGGCTCCTCTTCACAACCATATTCTTCTAGGGCTTATTTCTATGAAGCTCCTTCTTTTGAAAGACATATGGACTGGTATCTGCTGAGATCTCATTGACTCATAAGACCTTTGGACAGTCAAAATAAATTCAATCACAGTTATAAATACTAAGATCCCTTTTCTTTTTATTCTCGTTATTGAGGACTTGCATTTGTGGCCCCATCTGTGAACCAGATTAATTCGGAGCCATCTGCAGTGAGCAAATTGCTAATTCTGGCAGCTACCAGAGGGACGCTAGTATCATCCTTATGTAAACATTTCATGTCAACTCTGACTGCGAACAAAACAGCCACCCACAAAGGTGCATAAGGCTGGTCTGTGAAAAGGTATTCGCTCAGATGAGTGATCAGAGCATCTTAAAGGAGGGAGGCAGCTCCAGCACCGGGCGTGCGCGGTGCGCTGGAAACGCCGCCGCCGTAATGAGGCGAAACAGGACGGGAGATGAGTGCCACGGAGAGCGGTGCCCTGCGCGCTGTGACGCTGCCCGGCGCAAGAGCTGGACTGCTCTGCACAAAGGCGGTTACAGAAAGTCCTCTGGATGCTTTAGACCTCACCTGGAGTCAAAGGGAAGAGCCCTGCTGATGCCAGGGGGATGCAGCCTTTTTGGAAAAACAGCTATTACTAATGCTGACATAAAAATGAAGATTCAAATAGAGTGGAAAATGTGCATTTTCAGATGCCTATTTCCTCTTTGATGGTGCAGGTAGGTGCAGGCTCCAGCCTGACGGAAAACGCACTCCACTGTAGTGAAGTTTGTATGGCAAAAAACTGTACCTGATATCACTTCCAAAGAAACCAAAAAGCAAGCAACAATTTCAAAGATCAAATAGTGGAGGAGAAGAGGTTTTACTAGGGAAGAGAATTTGTTCAGTAGGCTTGAAATCTACATTCCCTTGCTCCTAGCTGTAGTACTGAATCCACAAACAAAAGAATCACTTCCCTGATAAACACAGTCCCCCAGGGCCTCAGCTAGGCCCCTGGCTTTGAGGGGTACCTACAGAGTGACCCAAAGACACTTGTTTTCCCAGACAACTCCACCAAAGCTCTGTGACCACCTACACCCTGTGGAGAGGGGATGCCACACTGACCTTCGTGTGTTGCTCATTGCTGCTTCTAACCTTGCCCCACTCTTAATGATAGTTACTCACTGCACATACCACAGCATGGATCCCCTGGAGGGCCTGAGCGTGGATTCCCATGGCAAGCAGCGTGCAGTCCTCAAAAGCAAGTGCTACCTACCAAGGCACCGGCTGAGGCTCCTCTTTGCACCCGTGCACATCACTGCCAGTGCCTTGCCCTGCACCGCGTGGGCCCGTGCTTTGCTATTCCTTGCCCTTCCTTATTTTGGGGGTATCTTCTGCTAACTAGGGTACAGTCAGGTTACAGCCACGCTGCAAGCTGGGCCATTTCCAGCCAGGCTTGTGCTCACGCACGCGGCTGTGCAAAGGAGCAGGGACATGTGCCCATGAAGTGGCTTGTGCTGAACGATGCCGCTCTCTGCTTTCGGGGACGCGGATGCAAAGACAGCCTAAACGGAGCTGAAGGGAAGCGGCGCAAACGGAGCGGCGCTCGGTGCCAACAGCTGGAGACCTGGGGATGGTGTAAAGCCTGCAAGCATTTCACAGACTGTTCTGCACCTTACATAGAAATGCTACATCTCTGTCTTACAGATTTCTCATCCAGGCAGAAACTGTTTCATGAGGTATGAGTTTTGGTTACTGCTCAAGCACCAAAGCAGCATTTCTTGTATGTTTTAGGGCATAAGAGTTACTCTGATGAGGACAAAGTTGTGCTAATCTGGTTTTCTGGGTGCTTTCTGTGAAAGCAACTGGGTGTGGGATTCTCGAAGGATTCCCCAAGAAAGGGCCCAGCAGAAAAATCCCTGGATGTGCATTGGGACCACTCTGGCATTACCATCAGGAATTTGCATTCAGAAACCCTCCTGCATTAACTTTATGATCTGACAAGCTAAGTTGAGTGTCCCACCTTTGCTTAGCTAGGCACTTCATTTAATGTAATAACACCGAACATGAAATAAATATTAATCACTATCACCACACAAGCTGCAGAAGAGAGAGTCCAGTCCTCTGTGGGCAAATCCTTCCATGAGGAACAGGGAGCCTGAGCCAGGGAAATCAGCAATCCCAGCTTGGATGTAGGATCTTGCATCCAGCCAGCACCACTCTGAAACCTGCTGATGAAATCTGGTCCTGAACAAAGCTTGTAAATAAAGCTGGGCTGGCACTGCTGCCTCTCCCCACCACACACATGTTGCCCTCCAAGTTATAAACTTTGCGGCAGGTATAAACATAGCTCCGGAAAGACAGCGATGCATACAGATCAGGGAAAATGAAACAGCCCTCCTGTGAAATATAGCACCAAGCTAGAGATGTTGGAGCTGAGCTCCAGCTCAAAAATAAATCTGCCTTATTTAATAGACTTCTGGCTCTGCCCGCTTAAGCCAGCCAGGCTGGGAGTTAAGAGTAGGCAACGGGTTTGGAATCCAGGTGATTTTAGAGAAATCCACAGCAAAAGCCATCACTTGCTTTTCATGACAGTTCAGACAACACTTGTCATTAGTCGGCGATACTCATGCTACTTAGGAACGCTTGCAGTAAAGTGATCTTCTACCCTTTCTGTCATTTTGGAGTAGGACAATTAAACTTTCCGCAAGACCAAGACAAAAAGAGTTCATTCTCCATGAGTGACCTGTACTTTGCTACTTGTATTTTGCCACACTAACATTTCAGTTTTTAGCTCTGGCAGTAGAGATTCTCCACGTCTTGAATGAGTAAGTCAGGATAAGCACATTTCTATGGCACTCACAATGCTGCCACTTCTAAGTGCAGAGCTGAAAACTCTTGAAGGTTGTCAGGGTTGATCTGGAGTGTTTCCTCACTGTCTGACTATAAGACATACTACTGAAAAACCACATAGTAAGGGCTTACATGCTGAAAGAGTTTTCTCCTGTGGTATTGTAGTGTGAGTAATGTGTCCAAATAGACTTCAAAACACGGCTTTAGAAACAAAGATCATCTAAGTTTTGGAAGTTGCCTTCTAAGCGGTGAACATACAGTGGTGAGTAATGTGGTCAGATGCATTATCCATCCCAGCTCCTGGCGTGTTACTTGCAAATAAAAAGAGAAGTCAAGGTGTGTGTGACATGTGACACTCAAAAAGACAGGATTTGGACTCTGATTTTGCACAAAGATCCTCACGTAACCTACTGACTGCCTTGTAGCTAAGGAGCTGTCATACCCATCACAGGAGCTGTCCAGTGCTCAGATATATATATATATATCACTTTTAGCTCATGCTGTAACATCATGTTCTCCTGCTCTGCATCTCTGGAGCTCTCCAGAGATGGAGACTAAGATGATATGTCTGTACTATGGCTAAGGACTGAAACTTAGCAGATTGCTTGTTTGCTTACAGTTATTTATAAGCTTGTGCATTTTCAGGATTTACTTTTGAAAAGCAATCCACTTATTAATATCAGTAAAACAGCACAGCAATAGTTCATAGTTATAGATGGCACTGTAATTCCAGACAGTCCCAAATTCCTTTATAAAGCATGCATCTGTAAATCCATCCATAAATCAGTAAGGCCACAGATACTGTGAGACTGAAAAGAACACTGAGTGAAATGGAAAATGCCCAAAGTACTTAAGTCAGGTAGGACATGTTTGCCCAGACTGGGAAGTTATCATCCGAACAGTCTGCCCACACTTACTCTGGGCAGTTAAGGGAAGGTAACTACAATAAGGACTTTGTCTGAAGATTCTGCATCTCCCCTGTGCAGTAACTTCTTTGCAACGCAGGACTTTTCTTAGGTAAATGGCTTAAAATTGAAGTGGAACACGTGACTAACCTGTTTTTCACCGCTTGGCTTCCTGTAATTCAGCAGCAGCTCCACAGCCCCCACCACCTCTTTCCGTATTGCATATAGCAGAGCATCTCCCACGTACACGCTGTGGTTCAAGAGTAACTCCATGATCTCCAGGTTCTCGTTCTCTATGGCTATTAAAAGGGCGCTGCGACCAAGAGGATCCATGCAGTTAATGTTGATGTTGTAGTAGATCTCGGCCTCTTGCAAGGCATGCTTCACGCTGGCATAGTCCCCCTTCTCCACAGCGCTGAGGTAGGCCTTCTCCTCCACCGAGAGCTCTGCCTCCGCTCGCACAATCTGCAGCGGGATCCGGTCTCGGTACGGCGAGTAGTTCACCTTTTTGTAGTATAGCTGGGCCATTGTTCATAGTGACCGGGCAACCTGGCGGGCAAGAAGAAGACACGTCAGTGACAAAATGGACAAGCCACCCCTACCAGCTCCTCCTGGTGAACAAGAAGTAAAAGCTTCTGATTCCTCTTTAAGGTGTTGCGCTCCCAACGCAACAACAGTAACTCTCCTTGAGCAACCTTGCATTAAAAGGCAACCTGGAAAAATAAGTGGTGCCACTAGTGTGCACAGAATGACACTGGCTATGCTCTTAAATGTGGTGTAAACACTAGGCAAATGATTTCTTTCATCTGCTGAGCAGCCCAGTCTTGTTTACGGCTAATCTATCCACGTGTGCCAATAGGAGGATTTCTCACCTCTGCCTTTTCTCACTCTGAATGTTTTTTTGTCCACCCCCTCCTGCTTTGTAACTGCTGAGCCAGATCCTCAGCACCCCTGAACTGTTACTGGTGGCAGCTGATGAAGTACACCCTTCTGTTTACAGTAATAAGGTTTGTTTTCGATATTTTTCAATCTCTTCTTTGCTCCTGTTTCTTAAAATAGGTTTTCATTTTTCTCTAATGTTTATTCTTTGACTAGGTCACAGTTTTATTTTAAAGCTTGTGTGTTTCTAACATATTTTTCTCACTTTTCTCATCTATAAATAAGACCCAAAGACAGCCTAATGCAGAAGGGCCCCACTCGCACTTTCCGGCAGCCCTGGCTTTGCTTACAGTCTAGAGGAAAAAAACCTGCCCTGCATCAAGAGTTGCCACCTGAAAGCATCACTGCCTCCTTTGCTGGCCCAAAGAGCCACAGGAGTCATTGGAAACATGGCTGGAAAGGTGCTTGCTCCTCAGGATGGAGGAACCTGTGCTTATCTAGCTCTGTTTGCCATCCAGGAACCCACCACAGCAGCAGCTACCAGTGCCTGCATCACTTATTCCATCTCTTTGCCCAAAGCCCAAGGGTTCCTGCAGCAGCCTCGTCAGAGCTGTGCCCCGTCTTTGCTCTCCATTCCGGCGAAGGAGAGGGTTTGGATGACGGGCTAGCCGTGGTTTGGGAGCTTCCACGGTTCAGAGGCTGAACCGGAGCGAGGTGCGCTGAGCCCTCCGGTTGCCATCGGGTGCTGGGGCCGCCCTGCCTCTTGGCAGCAGCTCCAGGAACGTCCCCGTGCGGCGGCCATGGGAGATCCGAGTCCCAGCCCTGCTGACACTGCAAAGCAGTGGGTAGTTGTAGCACACAGCAAAGCTGCAGCTGCAAATTTCCTGGGGCGCTGAAGATCCTCAGCGATGAATTTGGCATGTCGAAAAATGTGCTCTCTTCATCTCCTGGCTTCCCGCAAGCACAAGAAAAGTTTTGTTTGTTACATTTTATTTCAGCTCTTTGCTCATGAGTTCCAATCTGAGGACACAAAGGCGTTAGATGCAAAATGTCCTATAACCTACGTACAAAACTTCATAAATATATTGGCATAGTTTCTTGACTTTTCAGCCAGTAGCTTATGGGGGTTTTGTTTAATGTATCAGCTGTGGGATCTCTGTGCTGCAGGAAGGTGATTTATTTGGGCAAATCGATGTGCTAGGATGACTGCTAGCATGGAAAGCAGCTAAGCCATTTCCCAGTTTGGTCATTTAATGCCCTTCTTAAAGAAATGTTATGCCAGTAAAGCTTTTAAAACTAAAGAACAATCTTGAGTGACTTAGGAACTTGAAGCCTCTTAATAAACGATGTGTGTAATGGACTGCTCTGACTTTCCAAAGGACTAAGGATCGCAACTCATCTTCGAAATTTCAATTTTGAAAAAGCTGTCCCTGCAGGGGCCAGGCAACTCCAGCACAGCACAGACAGAGGCAGGACAACGTGGGCCAGAATGACCTCTGGGAACGTGAGGAGAAGCCCAAAGGACACGGGAAACCTCATCTTCCCGGGACCCTTGGGCTCGTGGCAGCAGGGAGCCCCAACGGGCACACGGATATTCCTGAGGGCAGAGGAAAAGCAGCCATGGGCTGCAGGTCTCTGGGGAGCAGCTGCTGGCTCCAGAAAAACCTGCAGGACTCTGGTGAGAAATGCAGCTGCTGAAGTGGAGCTGGGTATTTTTCGCTGCTCTTCAGTTTAATTGAATGTTTTGTAGGTGGTGAGTAACAGTTGCCATGAGTTATAACAAATGTCACCTTATGAAACATCATGCCAGAATTGGATCCCTTCCCATTCCAACAGTTATGAAGGAAAAAAGCTACAGATATCTTAACTCCTCAATGCGATGCCATCTCTCAGTACAACCACAGTGCAAAAAAAAAAAAACCTTAATGCGTCAAGCATACATGGAAAGAGCCCATGTAAACCCAACAGGAAAGAGCCATCAGATGGATGATTTGCCCTGAATTCTTCTGCTACTATCATGCGTAGCCTAACCAAGACAAACTGTCAACAGGGTTTGGAAATTATAGCATACAGTGTCAAAACTAATACATTTCTGCCTGGCCTACATGGAGGATTTCAGCAAGACATTAGCTGTTGAGAAGCCTCTCAGCCTGAGATCCAGCGTGATTGAAGACAGACCTCTCACACCTGATGTCTTTCGCTTCCAAAGCCTGAGAAGAGAACATCAGTCGAGCATGTGCATTTGCTCAGACATGGAGCAAGCGATCCCAGATATCCCTGCTCCCTCACAATCATTTCCCAAGCTGCCAGTCTCCTGGAAGCAGCATATCTTGCTAAAAGTAACAGCCAAAGTGAGCAAGTCCTGGGCCTCTTGCTATTCAAGTGTGTTACTGCCCCCCTCTTAAAATTTAAGAAAAACAAACAGTATTGATGAGGTCTAGATAAGAAAAGAGGCAAGTGATTTTGAGGGAACTAAAGAGAACCAACAATGAGACACCATCAAAAGGGAACAAAAATAAAAACACAGTCACATCAAAATGTTGGACTCGGCACCTAGATCTTGAAAACACACATTTTCCATATGACTTCTTACAAATGAGCACCTGACCCCCTGATGAGCACAAGGTCAAATCCCAGATCGTGGTTGAAGACCATGGCCCGGGATTGGCCCTTCCCACCTGCAGCCTCGGTGGGAGCAGCCACCTCGCACCGTGCGTCGCAGCCGGGAGGAAACGGGCACCCGCCAAGGCGGGATCGGAGCGGCTGCTCCTTCCCTCCCGCTGGAGACTCGCGCTCACACATGTTGGCAAAACTCTGCGTGTGGCTTTAAATGGCACCTCATCTCTCTCGGATGCGAGACGGATTGATATGCTGGAAAGTCTGCCCGGATTTCCTAGCTATAGCAGCTAGTCCAATGAAAGAGATGATCTTTCGCAATGTATCTTACTTCACTGCTTCTCTCCAGCCTTCCAAGGCAATTCTTCCTTTTTAGTGTTTCAGGGAGGATATGTTCCTCATTTTGAGCTTCTAACCTGGACCCTCAGAGCTCGTGAAACCATGGACCATATCTGCTAAGATGGTCCAGCTCTTTCATCATGCTCAGGGGTTGTGCACTCAGTAATATTGATCTTTTCAAAAAGGTTACAAACTCAAGTTATGAAATAGTCCAGAAGGGCCACTTAGGTAAATAACATTACATTTAGTTAATGGACCAACTGAATTTGTGATTGGATCCTTCCTTTAAGTGCCCTGGATCTTATTTACTAACAAAGCCCAAATGAGCTCATATCTCCTGCAGTCTGAGGAGGTAAAACTTACTTTATAACATTCTGCAGTTCTTTTTCTTCTGCAAAGATGCTCTCTTCTCCCTGAAAATTGCTTTTTCCATAGAGTTCAGAGGGAATTGGATTGCAACCCTAAGTCTCACTGCTTCTCATGAAGGCTCTGTATCACTCACCACCTGTCTGGTCAGAAGCAGAAATTTTTCCTTGCTCTGTTAAAAGCCACAGCCTCAGAAATCTTGGAAAAGACATCAAAATGCAATGACCTTTGGCTGTATATGGCTGTGTCATTTCCCCTTGCAAAGACACAACGACCTTAGGAAGTTTGTGTTCCCCTCGTAAGTTATGCAAGATAAATCACTCCCCTGGAATAAGTGCTTTCCAAAACTTGCAGGCTTGGAATATGACATGAAAATGAGGAACTGCCAGCTAATAAAACTGAAGATGAGTAATCTGGTTTCCCTGCCCAGGCTGAGTGAAAGGGGGAGCACTAACAGCAAGCAATAAAATGCAAGGCTGTAGTCGCTCCTGATTCACATTGGAATCTGGTGGATATGTCTTAAAAGAAAATTTGCTCCTCGTCTTCCTAAAATGCTTCTTGCTCATCATCATCTAAGGCACTGTTAAGAATATATGCAGTACCCCAATGACTGTAATTAAACTTCTAATCCAAGAAGTGTTTATAAAAGAAGACGATCTCAAACTTGAGATTATAAATTTACAGAAGCCAAAAAAATTCCTTGCCAGTAATGCAAAATGTCATAATTTGACTCAAATCCCAGCTGCAATTCTGAACTTCCTGGAGAGGCTGACAATTATCAAAGTTATATGTGTGTGATTTGGAAAGGCCAACTCTTTGGTATAATTCCCTTCTGCTGTATAATCAATTGATGAGTCATGACCAACTGCATATGGGTATGGGTAGATACATATATATATATGTATGTATATATACATAAAAATACCATTACAAAAGATATCATGCATATAGTAGTCTTGGAGACACTGCTGGGCTTATGAAAGGACCTGTGTTTCTCTGTTTAACCAGCAGTCTTAATGAAGACTTGTGAACCAACTCAGCATCCCAGCCCTCTGCCTTTAAGGTGCTCAGTGATGTCAGGTCACCTACAAGAGCATGTAGCACTGCAGGATGGAGATCCTGGCACAGCTGAATCCCTGCCAGATTAGTAGCTCTCCCTGCTGGATGGAGCCTTCTTGAGAGCCACTGCAATCCTGTAGCCCTGCAAGGAAGCAGCTTTGCAAAATTTGCCTGTTTCCATTGTGTGTGCAAGGTGCTTGTTTGACCTGGCTTTCTTCTAGCGGAGGAGCACAACTCCATATATATTTCAAAGGAAAATAACGCACCAAACCACTGCACTGCATGT